TGCTCTGACCCCGTCCCTTCATTTTACATGGCCTACCACTTCATGGCTGAGTTGCTGCTGTTCCCAGTTGTTTCCACTTTGTTATAATGGCATTAACAGTTGACCGTGGAATATTTAATAGCAAGGAAATGTCACAGATAGACTTATTGCACAGGTGGCAACCTATCACGGGACCACGATTGAGCTCACTGAGCTCCTGAGGGTGACCCATTCTTTCACACATGTTTGTAGAAGCAGTCTGCATGCCTAGGTGCTTGATTTTATATACCTATGGCCATGGAGGTGATTGGAACACCTGAATTCAATTATTTGGAGAGGTGTTCCAATACTTTTGGCAATGAAGTGTGTGTATATGTGTGTGTGTGTATATATATATATATATATATATATATGTGTGTATGTGTGTGTATATATATATATATATATATATATATATATATATACGGAGAGATGTTTGTGTGCATGTCAAAAGACCAAAAACATAAATTCTGTATGTCACAAATGAATATATTCAATATTGTGACATGTCCAATATATCACCATGTCCTGCTACATGGATAATAAAAAGCCTCCATGTAAAGTATAGTTTCAGTGTGATCTCAATGTTCCATATCCACCACCTTCACAAATTGCAGAACAAATCTTCCCATCTAGGTGATGTTACGGTATTACTCTCTGGTGCTCCCACTGTGCGCAAGGTATTCCACCTTCTGAATAACAGGCTTGCCAAATCTATTGGACCTTTGATCATAAAGGTCAAATGCCCTTAATAATCTCCACTGAATAACATCTGCAATGCAACAATAATAGAGTACTCCTTCCTCTTTAAATCTCCAATCCCCGATGTATCATCAAATATTCACTGCAAAGACACAAGAGATACCCTCATAGCTTATTACAATATATTACATCTGGGTGTGTGATCTGCACTTTTCTATCTCTGCTTCTATGGGTAGCATTAGGGGCACATTTTGAAGTATTTGTTGTTTAATTGTTGAGGATTTTCTGTGGCCCGCTCTGCAATCTACACAAGGCACATAACATATCTGCACAACAAGTATTTTCACCACGCCCTTTCCAGAAATGTATGGGGCTTGTAGAGTGCAGGAATATTTTGGTTGTCGGAGGCCTGTGAAAGGAAGAGCACCTTCATTATGTGTTGTGGAGACTTTTTTTAAAGTGGATCGTCCAGGCAGCACAAAAAAATCAGTTTATGAATTACTGAAGTGCAATATACATTTTTTTTTATCATTCTTTAAATCTGAAAACATTCTATTGTAGGAACATTTTTTGCACCTGACGAATCGTCTCTCAATATGGAAATTAATTTCTTGTCAGCCACCATGGTTAATTGTCATGTACAAGTCCATATGTTGGAAGAAATGAAATTATGTAAATTCTCTTCACATAGAAGACATTGTGTCTGTTTCAATTTTTCAGATGGAGGCAAAAGAGACCCATGTAATTCCTATGGGTGGCCTGATGAAAGCATATACCTGCCCATGTCCAGTCGGGTCAGTAAAAGTGGACCTGGATATGCAGACTTATTGTATTCGAATCTGACAAATGTCAGAGGACCAGGATGATGTGGATATAGGCAGCTGCAGGTCATGTGGCCACCCATAGTGAAACATAGCAGCCTGAATAATGCAAGCACAGGTTACAAATCGACTGCAGGAACTTCTGTGGGAAAGGGGCCTAATGTTCTGAGGTCCTGAGCATCATCCGTTCATGGGGAGATGTTACAACAGTGAATCATATGACAAGAAGCAGACCTGCCCAGATGCACTGTGAAATTATGCTGCAGTATACTGTATACACAAACAATGAAGAACTCCATCTTATTTTTCTTTTAGCTGAGTCAGGAAGATTTAGAACCTCTGGCAGCTTTTTATGGTTGTCTGTATATGGGCAGCCAGTGGCTAAATGGTTAGCACTTCTGCCTGGCAGTACTAGGGTCGTTGGATCGAATCCCAACCACAGCACCACCTTCCTGGAGTTTGCATGTTCTCCTTGTGCCTGCATAGGTTTTCTCCGGGTACTCTGGTTTCCTCCCACACTCCAAAGACATGCTGGTAGGTTGTTTGGTTCCTGTCTAAATTGGCCCTAGTAGTATGTGTATGTATGAATGTGAGATAAGGACCTTAGATTGTACACCCCTTGAGGGTTGGGGACTGATATGAATGTACAATATATATGTAAAGTGCTGCGTAAATTGACGGCGCTATATAAGTACCTGAAATAAATACCCATTGGAAATTTCTCTTTACTTCCTATGACAGTGGCAACATTATCCATGTGAAACGGCATAAAGGAACAGATTGTCAAATAACGGTTCAGGCATACTTCACAAGAATTCAGCGTGTTATCACGCCCAGGATTTACAGGTGTTGGTGAGAAGCTGCAACCAGCAGCCTTTACAAATCAATAACAGGCTGTCAGCGGCTGCTACTGTACACCCATAACTGCATATCTGAGTGACTACATGCATACAGGGATGGATGAGGGAATTTGTCTGCGTGCATGAGCCCTATGCCCACAGACAACAAGAAAAATTCAAACGTATGAGCCACCTCCACTCTGCCCCCCCTTTCACAAACTCTCGTCACTGTGACCTCCTTGCTCTATCCACCCCCTTCCCACTCTCTCTCCAACTTTGTTGTTTGTAGTAGCTGTTGCAAAGAAAAAAAATCTACTCGTGTCACATGCTAAATCCAAGTTATTCCTCATCTTAAATGTCTTTGTCAAGTTTTGGAATAAACTTATTATTTCTGTTTGTTATTTAAATCCTCTGTGATTACCAGTGGAGTTGTGTAATGCCCTGTGCCCCTTGGTGGACCCTTGTCCCTTCTTGTTATATTGTGAAATAAGCCCTTACTAGAATTTTTGTGTCATCAATCACTGGGTAAAAGAGCAGTCTGGTGGGGTCCGGTTTGTGCATTTTGTATAGCACAGGACATGTTTTTACTCAGCCGCCTGTGGGGGTATACGGTATATGAACAGTTGTGCTCAAGCGTTGGCATTCCTTGGCAGAAATTGTGAATTTTTGGCATTGATATTGAAAATATGACTAATCATGCCAAAAAAGTGTCTTTTATTTAAGGATAGTGATCATATGAAGCCATTTATTATCACATAGTTGTTTTGGCTCCTTTTTAAATCATAATGATAACAGAAATCACCCAAATAGCCATAATCAAAAGTTTACATACCCTGGAATGTTCAGCCTTGGTACAGGCACACAAGGTGACACACACAGGTTCAAATGGCAATTAAAGGTTAATTTCTTACATCTGTGGCTTTTTAAATTGTAATTAGTATCGGTTTATAATTAATGAGTTGTGGATGTACTGAGCAGGCTAGATGCTGAAAAGAAATGCCAAAAGACCTGCATAACAAGGTAATAAAACTTTATAAAGATGGAAAAAGATATACAAATATTTCCAAAGCCTTGAATATTCCAGTCAGTACTGTTTAATCACTAATTAAGAAGTGGAAATATCAGGGATCTCTGATACCAAGCCAAGGTCAGGTAGACCAAGAAAGATTGCCACAACTGCCAGAAGAATTGTTCCGGATACAAAAAAAACCCCACAGGAAACCTCAGGAGCAACACAGGCTGCTCTGGAAAAATATGGTGTGGTTGTTTTAAAGGAGCATAATACAATAATACTTCAACAAAAAATGAGCTTCACAGTCAACTTGCCAGACAGGAGCCTTTACTTCCAATGCCATATTGTAACCAAGCTTTTTTATGGAATGGATTGGTATATGCAGTAGGCTGAATTTAATGATTTTGAAATTGTTAGGAATTAAAGGGTTAGTTCACTTTTACCAAGCAAATCTGCCTATGCAGTAAAGGAGTGCCTGTAGATATAAACAAACTGTGTAGCTTTGACAAAGGTTAAATAAAGCGTTTGCTATAGATGTAGGCCACGTACGTACACCCCAAGGCCAGGCCAAAGAGAGAGAAGGCATCATTCCATCCTGCCTTGTTGCTAGGATGTGGCTAAGACACTCCAAGCCAATTCAAACCCCTTTGTATGCACTTTCTCTTCCCTGTTTCTGTGATGGTTGGGGTGAGCGTTAATGACTGGGAGTGTCTTAGCAATGTCCTAGCAACAAGGCAGGACAGGTTAATGCCATCTCTGGGAGATTTTCTGTCAGGCTGTGAGAGCTATGTAGATGGCCTACACCTATATCAAGTGCATTACCCAACTTAAGTCAAAGCTGCACTATTAGTTTTTATCTACAGGCATCCCATACCTGCCTAGGCTTTTTTTTGGTAAAAGTGAACTAACCCTTTTAAGCAACCCCATAGGAAGCCTAAGGAAATCCAACTTAATGGTGAATATGTGCAGCAGGCGTTACAAGTTTTGTGCTCTTAGCTGCAGAGCACTACCTTAATCTGCTGATGGAGTCCCTCTAAATTCTATACTGACTTTCTGACTTTCTTCAGGTGACCCAGCTCATGCCTTTGACCATCAGCATGTCCATTTAATGTATAGTCGTGCACAGTGATGTGATAATCTGTACATATACCGTCAGATCACACACACCTATGGTCCATGTAATGTCTCCCCATTCCATCCAAAATGTTTTTTTCCTTCTAGTTTTGGGTAGAGTGGGGAAGTGATGGATGTTTTGTCAGGTTTTTCATATATATATATATATATATACACACACACACACACACACACACACACACACACACACACACACACACACACACATTACATTTCCAAAAGTATTGGGGTGCCTGCCTTTACACGCACATGAACTTTAATGGCATCCCAGCCTTGGTCTGTAGGGTTCAATATTGAGTTGGCCCATCCTTTGCAGCTGTAACCGCTTCAATTCTTCTGGGAAGGCTGTCCACAAGGTTTATGAGTGTGTCTATGGGAAGGTTTGACCATTCTTCTTCCAGAAGTGCAATTGTGAGCTCAGGCACTGATGGCAGACGAGAAGGCCCCACACCATAATCCCCCCTCCACCAAACTTTACACTTGTCACAATGCAGTCAGGCAAGTACCGTTCTCCTGGCAATTGCCAAACCCAGACACATCTATAGGATTGCCAGACAGAGAAGTTTGATTTGTCACTCCAGAGAACTCGTCTCCACTGCTCTAGAGTCCAGTGGTGGCATGTTTAATACCACTGCATCCGACAGTTTGCATTGCACTTGGAGATGTATGGCTTGGATGCAGCTGCTTGGCCATGGAAACCCATTTCATGAAGCTCTTTATGCACTGTTGTGCTAATCTGAAGGCCACACGAAGTTTGGAGGTCTTTGGTTATTGACTCTGCAGACAGTTGGCGACTTCTGCGCACTGTCAGCATGCGCTGACCCCGCTCTGCCATTTTATGTGGCCTACCACTTTGTGGCTGAGTTGCTGTTGTTCCCAGTTGCTTCCACTTTGTTATAATACCACTAACAGTTGACCGTGGATTATTTAGTAGCAAGGAAATTTCATGGATGGGTTTATTGCACAGGTGGCAACCTATCACGGTACCATGCTTGAATTCACTGAGCTCCTGCGAGAAACCCATTCTATTACAAATGTTTGTAGAAGCAGTCTGCATGCCTAGGTGCTTGATTTTATACACCTGTGGCCATGGAGGTGATTGGAACACCTGAATCCAATGATTTGGAGGGCGGGGACAATACTTTTGGCAGTAGTGTGTATATGTTGTTCTATATATATATATATAGATATATATATATATATATATATCTATATATATATATATATATATATATATATATATATCTTAGATTGTAAGCTCCAAGGAGCAGGGCCCTCATATCCCTCTTGTATTGAACTGTATTGTCTCCCGTTATATTGTAAAGTGCTGATCAAACTGTTGGCGCTATATAAATCCTGTATAATAATAATTATATATATATATATATATATATATATATTATACACGCGCACACACATATGGAGCTGCAGCCTATTTATTTATGTGGTGCTTCTTGCAGTCATTATTGGAAGGACTGACCGGCTGTTGTTGACTAAAGCTCGTAGCAGTAGTAGTATTACTGATGGGTGAGGCATTCTCAGTTCCGAGCACACCCTCCAATTTGGATCCCTTTTTATTAAGCCTGACTTTTTATGTAGCATCCCTTGGGTGTGACCAATATACCCGCACCCACTCCTTATTCATCTCTTCTGCAGAGCAGATTAGGAGTTTACACAAAATAGTACATTGTTGTCTCCTGTTTATAATGTGGGAAGTAGGTCTGTGTGTTTGTGTGTCAAGTTTTCATGCAGTTTGTAATTGAGATCCTGTAGGATCATATCCATCTCTTATATCATTTCCTTGCTGGCATTAAAGTGGAACGTCAGCCAAAACCTTCCCCCACCCCCTAGTCTTGGTTAGAGTAGGGAAGGGTTAGAACTTCTGATTTATACCTGCATCTTTAATTCGAGAACTAACCGGATGTGAGTGTAGAGGATCATTCACACAGGTGCAGAGCGCTGTACACCATGAAAAATGAGCATGCCAAGGAGTGACAGGTGTTTGCATGCAGCTGCCTGTAGATATCCATTGGCAGTCTGCAACTGTAGGCATCCCCACATATCTGAGTGTCTGCAGGGACGGGCGAGTGGCCCTTGGGGGTCCGCAGGTACACATCCATTCCTGAAAGCAAGTAAACTCTTGGATGTGTGCTCACCAACGTACATTTGTAAGGACAGTGCTGAGATTATAGTGCACCCTCCCATACTGTGTTATCTGGTATTATTGTTGGTCTACTTGTCAGAGCAGGTTCTGTAGGGTGGGCACCTAGTGATTGGGCTTTCAGTACCTCTAACCGCAAAGAAAAGTCCAAAATTAATTCTGATCTAAGGCTTTGTTAACACCAGTGCAATGCAGGAATGCGCACACAATTGCGCTCTTCCCCAATGCACAAAGCTGTGCTGCTCCATTTCAGATGTGCAGTGGTACCATTCATTCTTAATGGCACCCCCACGCATCTTGTTTATGAGCGCTCCAAAATGCATGGTTCCACAGTACCATATGCTTTGGTGCGTCACGATATAGAAAATGGCGCAGCCACCTCCCTTGCGCATTCTTGCACATAGAGCGCTCCATTGAAAGTAATATGCTGTTGTAAACAAGCACCTCCTGGTGTGAATGGAGCCTAAGGCTCCATTCACACGGGCAGCCAGGGGCGGATAGCTTGCTGCAGTCAGAAGTGGCCATTGGACGCAGTAATACTCTGTGCTGTAATCGCTTACAAACTGGCTGACCAGCCGCAGCCAGAAAAGCTGCCGAAATTCTGAACGGTTACATGTGAACTGCAGCAACGCTGGCTATTGATTTCTGCTGCGTATGAATCTGGCAGCCACTGCGGGTCGCACACAGTTTGTGGAGGCATTACCAACAAGAATTTTAGGGATTCTTGCTTCTCACCAGAAATTCTGCAGAAACCTCGGCGGTCAGAGGCTCTATTTGCTGTATTCAGATGAGTGGTGACATGTGAACAGCGGCAGCGCTGGTCATTGATTTGTGCAGAGTACGCATCTGACCGCCGCCCCTGATTGTACAGTGTGTGGAGGGAATATTTACAACCATCGACCAGAAAGTACAGATTGTCTTCGGCAGCCGGCCGAATGTGAATGTAGCTTAAAGAGTCTAATATTGTTTGCGACATGTACACTGCAATCACTCTCTGTACAGACCCATTAGATGATCTGGGCTCAGCATTAAAGCTGTATTAAACTCTGAGCCAAAAATGTAATATATTGCAGCTTACCTATCAGCAGATGTGGTGGCTGCATTAGTTTTCTTTTTTTTAGGCTTTTTCATATCTGTTTTCACCTAGTGATCTGGCCAGTAACACACCTCCTTTATTAGAGTGCCCCCTCTCTGGATAAAGGAACACGGGGCACAGCAGACAGCAGCATTGTCAGTCTGGGGAAGGGGTAGGGGGTTTTAGATACACTAACAAATTGAAACCAAACTCCAACTCTGGATAAAGGAGCACAGGGGGCACAGCAGACAGCAGCATGGTCAGTCTGCGGAGGGTGTGGGTGTGTTAGATGTACTAGCAGATTTACATACACTAACAAATTGAAACCAAACTCCAACTCTGGATAAATGAGCACAGGGGGCACAACAGACAGCAGCATGGTCAGTCTGTGGAGGGGGTGGGCGTGTTAGATGTGCTAGCAGATTTACATACACTAACAAATTGAAACCAAACTCCAACTCTGGATAAAGGGGCACAGGGGGCACAACAGACAGCAGCATGGTCAGTCTGCGGAGGGGGTGGGCGTGTTAGATGTGCTAGCAGATTTACATACACTAACAAATTGAAACCAAACTCCAACTCTGGATAAAGGGGCACAGCAGACCGCAGCATTGTCAGTCTGTGGAGGGAGGGGGGGTGTTAGATGTACTAGCAGATTTAGATACACTAACAAATTGAAACCAAACTCCAACTCCCACTTTATAATCAGTTACTGCAAATGTTTTTTTTTACCTTTTGGGATAAAGGTTTTCCATAAATAAAAGCTGATCACTGTAAGCACCCCTGTCAATGTGAAATGGTTTGTCTCAACTCCCTAACTGCTACACCTGCAGAATAGCTTGCTCTTTTGAAAAACAGATTTTCTGGCATGATCACTAGTTTAAAATAGTAGAAAGAAGGCTTAAAAAAAGAAAACAAATGCAGAGATCACATCTAGTCATGGTAAGCTGCAATATAATCAATGTTTGCTTTGGGGTATAATACTGCTTTTCACAGCCCCCAGAGCTGACTGGTCCTCTGCGATTTTCTGCTGCCTCTGTACGGTGGAAGAACGGTGTCACATTCTATGAAGGTGCTGCACAATTGAAGTGCATATCATCAGCATAAATTAGACAGTCAGCCCACATGTCACAGAAGTGTGAGGTGGAAAGTCATGGCACTGGGTTCTTCATATAGAGACTGCGTTTAACCTATTCCTGGCTGGCATGCAGGCGATGATTACATAAGGCAGCCATGAACTGGTGGCTCCCCATCCCCCCTCCCTGTACACCACCCTTTCCTCCAGGCTCTGTACCCTGTAATGTGAATCTAGAGGCAGATGCAGGAGGTGGGGCCCATCTCTCCCAATCAGCTCAGTGACACTGGCACATTAGCTCACAGCTTAGAGCCACCCAGCGGAAGGAGCGTATCTTTTATTTTACATGTAATTAATTAATCAGTGTCTGAAAGCACAAGAGATAGCAGTCGGGGAGGAAAATAGGCAATGGGAGCTGCTGGGAGTCATGGAAGAAGGTTTCCCCTCTGTGTGTGTCCAGCAGAGCAGCCCAGTTAGTGATGTGTCCTGATGGACCTGTAACCTGTGCATGTGTCTGCAATCAGCAGCGCTCTCTTCAAATCCTCTAAGCTTCTTCCCCCTCAATCTGCTCTGTAGCCCAGTCTGTACCACTGAAGATGGAGCCGTGTTCCCGGGGGATTTAGACGCAGGCTTCAAAACGCTTAAAGTTGGAAGAGGTATGTTAGAGTAGTTTGCTTGTTGTTGTAGCGTCATGTCTTCTGGAGTGATTATTTATTACAGGTATTTCCATAGCATCAACAATATCCGCAGCTTTCCATATTGTACATTCATGTCAGTCCCTGCCCTCCAGGAGCTTACAATCTAAGGCAGTGTTTCTCCACCATTTCTCAGTCGTGGCACCCTTTACAATTATGGACAGTCCCGAGGCACCCTTTAAAGATATGGACAGTCCCGAGGCACCCTTTAAAGATATGGACAGTCCCGAGGCACCCTTTAAAGATATGGACAGTCCCGAGGCTCCCTTTAAAATTATGGACAGTCCCGAGGCACCCTTTAAAATTATGGACAGTCCGGAGGCACCCTTTAAAAATATGGACAGTCCGGAGGCACCCTTTAAAATTATGGACAGTCCAGAGGCACCCTCTAAAATTGTGGACAGTCCCGAGGCACCTTTTAAAATTATGGACAGTCCCGAGGCACCTTTTAAAATTATGGACAGTCCCGAGGCACCTTTTAAAATTATGGACAGTCCCGAGGCACCTTTTAAAAATTATGGACAGTCCCGAGGCACCTTTTAAAATTATGGACAGTCCCGAGGCACCTTTTAAAATTATGGACAGTCCCGAGGCACCCTTTAAAATTATGGACAGTCCCGAGGCACCCTTTAAAATTATGGACAGTCCCGAGGCACCCTTTAAAATTATGGACAGTCCGGAGGCACCCTTTAAAATTATGGACAGTCCGGAGGCACCCTTTAAAATTATGGACAGTCCCGAGGCTCCCTTTAAAATTATGGACAGTCCCGAGGCACCCTTTAAAATTATGGACAGTCCCGAGGCACCCTTTACAAATATGGACAGTCCCGAGGCACCCTTTAAAAATATGGACAGTCCCGAGGCACCCTTTAAAATTATGGACAGTCCCGAGGCACCCTTTAAAATTATGGACAGTCCCGAGGCACCCTTTAAAATTATGGACAGTCCGAGGCACCCTTTAAAATTATGGACAGTCCCGAGGCACCCTTTAAAATTATGGACAGTCCCGAGGCACCCTTTAAAGATATGGACAGTCCCGAGGCACCCTTTAAATTAGGGACAGTCCCGAGGCTCCCTTTAAAATTATGGACAGTTCCGAGGCACCCTTTAAAATTATGGACAGTCCCGAGGCACCCTTTAAAATTATGGACAGTCCGGAGGCACCCTTTAAAATTATGGACAGTTCTGAGGCACCCTTTAAAATTATGGACAGTCCCGAAGCACCCTTTAAAATTATGGACAGTCCAGAGGCACCCTTTAAAATTATGGATAGTCCCGAAGCACCCTTTAAAATTATGGACAGTCCAGAGGCACCCTTTAAAATTATGGAGAGTCTCGAGGCACCCTTTAAATTTATGGACAGTCCTGAGGCTCCCTTTAAAATTATGGACAGTCCTGGGGCACCCTTTAAAAAATTATGAACAGTCCCGAGGCACCCCATTCTAAAACTAGTATGACTAGTATTCCAGTGTTTCTCCCTCAGTTTCTCTCCATCATTGAGATAATGTGACCCCAGCGCTGATGGAGAGGGGCAGAGGAGGGTCAAACTAGGATGCTGTGCAGGAAGCTAACATCCTCCTTATCAACTGATGATGTCATTGGTTGTCAGGATGCTACTAGAAGGTCTTAATGTTGCACAATGAAATCCGGTGGCTTTGTGTAACTTAATGGCAGGCTTTTTCCATCACTGGCTTCTATACAAGTTTTGGGCAATATTTAGACATTTTGCCAAGGCACCCCGGGGTGCCTGGACACCTTGGTTGAGACAGGCTGATCTAAGTTCACTCTGTCATATACAATCTGGAGAGAAGCCAGCTAACCTATTAGCATATCTTTAGAGATTAAAAAGAAACCAAAATACCCAGGGGAAGCCCACAGGAAGCGCATACATACTCCATGCAGGTAGAATCCTTGCTGAGGTCAATTTGGACAGGAGCCAATTAATCTACCAGCACGGTTTGGAGTGTGGGAGGAACTCTATGCAAGCACAGGGTCAACATGCACACTCCATGTAGTAAACCTACCAGCATTTCTTTGGAGTGTGGGAAGAACTCTATAGAAGCACAAGGAGTACATGCAAACTCCATGCAGATAGTGTCTGCTTGCTAGTGGTAGGTTTTAGGCAAACCACTCATTAAAGGGTTAAAGCCCATGTCATTCAAGCAACTCAGGCATACCTCATCATTTTAAGGTTGCCCATGGACACCCAAGAAGTTTAGGCAGGGAGACCCCTATCCTTGATGTGCTTCAAGCATACAGTGCCTTTTTTTTTTTTTTTTTTCTATAGAAAAGGGGATGATAGGTACCTGCTAGCTCAGGGATTTGGCCACACACTGTAAAGGCTCTGTAGGTGGTAACCTAAGTTCACCAGCAAAGATTCCTGGAGCTGATCACCCTCCCTGTGTACTGTACATTTCCCCCTGTTGCCCAGGGCCCCCTGTGTGGCCCCACAATTCTGCTGGCTTCCCTCCTCTCCTTACCAGCTGCAAGCACACAATAGGATTCCTCAGGTTGGAGAGTGAGGGAAGAGTTTGGTAAATGTCACATTTACCACCTCTTCCTTTCCTGAACTGAACATAGTGAGCGATCGGTACCAATCACTCACTGTGTTCATACATAACTGAAGCATATTAAACCTTTTTTTTTTGGGGGGGGGGGGGGTGCTGTCAGGTTGGCTGTATGGGGGGCCCTGCGGTTTCTAACAGCAGCCCTGGATCCTTCCTTTTGCTATGGAGCAGAGGGGAGACTTAAAGTACAGTATGTCTCCACTCATAAGACTTGTAGTGAGTTCAGACACTCCAGTGACACTACTGAGAATAGGTGACTGTCTTCCTTGATTTCAGGGCAATATCTGCCGATTTTCAGGCACCGTAAAGCTGACCATTCACTTTACAATCTAATTGTACAATCTCCTTTAGAGCTTGCCAGATTTAATATTGTTTGTAGCGATTTGCTTAGGCTGCTTTCACACTGATCTGTTGTTCTTCTGTTTTCTGGGGGGGATTTCTGCGTTTAAAAAAAAAAAAAAGAAAAAACGCATGACCATTAAATTCTATGGAACTCTTCACACTGCTCAGTTGCGGGTTGCTTTTCAAAGTCTTGCTTGCTGCTACAGTAAAATGTATGGTAAACATCAAAAACGCACTTGCAGTTGCATTTTTTGGTGTTTTTTTTTCACAGGTGCAAAATGTACCGAAAACGCGGCAAAAAAGTACACTTTTGCAAGGGAGCAGTGTGAAAGTAGGCTTTAGTCTTCTCATTTTACAAAGTTTGAGAAAAAGATAAAGGAGCTTGTACAGCGATTTTACAATCTGATTGCAGTTTGGCTATAGATGGGCAGATGTTTTGTCAGCGAGACATCTACCTGACATCTACAGGTATGATTCTGGGGCATGTGTTCTTCCTTCAATGGGCAATGCAAAGGCACCAAGTGAAGTCTTGGTTTCCTTTACTTCAGAGACACTTCAGTCTCACAGAGGTTTTCCAGGGTGTCAGTGCGAGGACCACAAGTTGTGTTTTAGTTAGCTGCACCTCTCGCTTGTATGGGGCTGTGTATGACTGACAGAAATCTAGTTTCTCTAGCTCTCTGCATATGATTGCTCTGTATTGTGTTTTTTACATACATTATGGAAGCGACCTCTTCCCTTTATGTATAGAAAATCTAATTTATGTGCGTTTCACCTTTTTCAGGTCACAGACATTTTTCATTCTGTAATACTGTGCATGAAGCAGACAGTGGTTTATATTGGGATATTCATAGCCATTGTATTTTTATAAATTGTGTACAGATTGTCATCAGTGACGCTTTAGAACAGAGCAGCTGACATTTCGGATGCAGGGACCCCAGGGGGTGTTTGTCCGTTTTCTGAACCCAAAAAAGTGAATCATTTTTGTACCTACATATTGATGGAGAATTTGTATGGGGATCCCAAGACAGGTTGTGCCTCTCCGTTCTGCAGCATTGATGTATGTCCTATTTTGTTACCTATATCAGAGCAGCATTTAGGCCTAGTTAACACTTGTTGTGTTGTGGGGAACATGCACAAATCATGCGCTTTCCTGCAGTGCACAAATCGTGCTGCTCTTTAACAGACGTGGCGGTGCCATTGATTCGTCCCAATTGGCATCAGTGGAAGTGCCATTAATTCCTAATGGCACTGTCATGTATCCTGCTAATGCACATGCCACATAAAGCAGTGCTATGCATTTTGGTGGGGCCCGATTTTTAAAATGGTGCATTCACCCTTTCTGCAACTTTCTGGCAGGGCAGCCCATTTGAAATCAATGGGCTGTGCTAAATGTGTTGCGCAGAAATGCACAAAAAAAAGTGTGTGTGATTTGGTCGCATATCTGAGCCTTACCTGTTCTCCCATAATGTATTAATCCAAATATTAAAATTGTGTGTATAAGTATATTGGTTGTTGGTGACTAACACCCCTAAGGACTAAATCCTCATTCCCACGGACAAACTAAGTGTGTTTGTCCACACGTGGATACACAGGGGTTCCTGCATCCATGTGCAGGCAGTATCATTCATGTCAGTTGGGATGCATGAACACAACCACTTCTCTCAATTTGACATGCATGCGGGTGTAGGTCCCCGGACTCACACTCTGTGTTCAGGGACACACACCCACATGGCTGTCAAGTTGGGGGCAGTGGCTGTGTCCATGCAGCCACCTCATCCCAATTGACATGAATGGGACTGCATGAACTGGGACGCACGGAACACCTGTGCAACCCCATGCAAGCAAACACAGCCCTCTCATGGGTGTATGCTTAAAGTGGTTCTAAAGCCTTAAGGTTTTTACCTTAATGCATTCTACACGTGCCCTGCTGTCTTTGTCTATGGATGCAGGCAGCGGGGCTTGGGAGCGAGCCTGCATGAGTGCCCCTTTAGGAAGTAGATTCCTATGGGGGCACTGGATGAAGACCCAGAAGTGCCAGTGGGGGACTCAAGAAAAAGGAGGATTGGGGCTGCTCTGTGCAATACCAAGTTTTGACATGTTTGTTATTTTAATAAAAAAAAAAAAATACTGAAAGTATAACTGAAGGCAAAACTTTTTTTTTAAATGTTGGATAGAATAGAGAGGGATTAAAACCCCTGTCAGTTTTTATTGCTGTCTACACCCCCATTCACCCTATCCATTTGTCCTATTTACCATTATCATTGAAAGTGAAAATAAAAGAAAATCCCAAATTTTGGGTTGTCCCCAGAAATGTAAGAGGGGAATCCTTCCAATGGGGACACTAGTTCTGGTGACCTGGGGTTCCTCAAGGAATTCTGTTAACTTGTTTGGATATGGGATAGGAAGTGAAGGGAAATCTTTTCAATGGTAAAAAAAATCTGACTGGTTATAACCCTCCCTTACTCTATCCAAAATGAAAATTATAATCACTTTAAGTATGTCTGTGTGAACAAGGCCTAATTCAGTTTGTGGTGGAGAGAGATTTTTTCTGTCTTTGTGTGGTTAAGTAAAAGAGTGCTCAATGCGATGATTAGAAACAAACCATTAGCAGTCATATGTTAGAACTGATCTGACTATTTTATCCTGAAGTCTAATGTGTTGATTTGGGTTACATCACATTGCATAGTAACATTGCTTGTACTGTTTCCTTGCCAAACAAGGGCTCTTTCACACCCACCTGCATGCTAAAATGCATGTGCGCTAAAGTATGTTGTGTAGGGGCAGTGAGCAGTGGTCACTATTTCTTCTTTTTTTTTTTTTTAAACATTATTGAAGTGTCACAAAATGACATATTGTTCGGGTAGAAATGCAACTGGTCTGCATTTTTGGGCAACGCACTGCAGCCAACCTCAACACAGATTGTGGTGTGAACAGGGCATGTGGAAAGTGAGGTGGTCTGTGTGCTGTGGAAGGAGTGGATTACCCCTGTGAGGAGGTCTGTGTGCTGTGAAAGGAGTGGATTACCCCTGTGAGGTGGTCTGTGTGCGCGCTGTGGATGCAGTAGATTACCCCTGTGTGGTGGTCTGTGTGCGCTGTGGATGCAGTGGATTACCCATGTAAGAGGATGGTCTGTGTGCGCTGTGGATGCAGTGGATTACCCCTGTGAGGTGGTCTGTGGATGCAGTGTGGATGCTGTGGATAGATTACCCCTGTGAGGTGGTCTGTGGATGCAGTGGATTACCCCTGTGAGGTGGTCTGTGGATGCAGTGGATTACCCCTTGAGGTGGTCTGTGGATGCAGTGGATTACCCCTGTGAGGTGGTCTGTGGCGCTGTGGATGCAGTGGATTACCCCTGTGAGGTGGTCTGTATGTGCTGTTGATGCAGTAGATTACCCTGTGAGGTGGTCTGTGGATACAGTGGATTACCCCTGTGAGGTGGTCTGTATGCGCTGTGGATGCAGTAGATTACCCTGTGAGGTGGTCTGTGTGTGCAGTGGATTACTGTGGATGCAGTGGATTACCCCTGTGAGGTGGTCTGTGTGCGCTGTGGAAGGAGTGGATTACCCCTGTGAGGTGGTCTGTGTGCACTGTGGATGCAGTGGATTACCCCTGTGAGGTGGTCTGTGTGCGTTGTGGATGCTGTGGATGCAGTGGATTACCCCTGTGAGGTGGTCTGTGTGGTCTGTGGATGCAGTAGATTACCCCTGTGAGGTGGTCTGGTGATGTGGATGCAGTGGATTACCCCTGTGAGGTGGTCTGTGGATGCAGTGGATTACCCCTGTGAGGTGGTCTGTGGTGCGTGGATGTGGATGCAGTGGATTACCCCTGTGAGGTGGTCTGTGGATGCAGTAGATTACCCCTGTGAGGTGGTCTGTGTGTCTGTGGATGCAGTATGCAGATTACCCCTGTGAGGTGGTCTGTGGGTGGTCTGTGGATGCAGTAGATTACCCCTGTGAGGTGGTCTGTGGATGGTGCAGTGGATTACCCCTGTGAGGTGGTCTGTGGATGCAGTGGATTACCCCTGTGAGGTGGTCTGTGGATGCAGTGGATTACCCCTGTGAGGTGGTCTGTGGATGCGATTACCCCTGTGAGGTGGTCTGTGGATGCAGTGGATTACCCCTGTTGATGCAGTGGATACAGATTACCCCTGTGAGGTGGTCTGTGGATACAGTGGATTACCCCTGTGAGGTGGTCTGTGAGGTGGTATGCGCTGTGGATTACAGTAGATACAGTTTACCCCTGTGAGGTGGTCTGTGAGGTGTCTGTCAGTGCACTGTGGATGCAGTGGATTAGTGGATTACCCTGTGAGGTGGTCTATGTGCGCTGTGGATTCAGTGGATACAGTGGATTACCCCTGTGAGGTGGTCTGTGTGCGCTGTGGATTCAGTGGATTACCCCTGTGAGGTGGTCTGTGTGCGCTGTGGATACAGTGGATTACAAAGAACTCCAAATCAGTAAACAAAGTGATCGTCCTGATTTGACATAGCTGCAGTGTACAGGAATGCATTAGTAGTTCACTAAGTGCTTTCGCTTGTCACCTAGAATTGCTTTTACAAAGTATGTACAGTTATTAAACGGCGTCTCTTTATGTGTGCAGGTTTGGCCCATGAAAGAGGCGATTAAGCACTGAGCAGCCAGTTAATTTGGGAGGAAAACAATAGTAATTGGCTGGGAAAATCCAGGCTAGGCTGATTATCGTATCCACAGTGAACATGGGATTGTTGTTTCCGAATTTGATGATAATTTGTAATGCATCAACTTTCTCTTCTATCTGTAGAAACCTTCGTGTCCCAGTCAATACAAGGTCCCATGTGTGTGATAAGCTGCTAGCCCAACCACACGAATGGTTTCTTCTGGTTCGTACGTCATGACACGACGTAAGGGCAGGAGGGAGAAACCTCTTAATAGATATTCAACCCATTTGACCAGCTGAATACTTGCATTGTCCAGGGAGCCACATCACAATGACATTATAAGGCAGGAGAGCGATTATGTGATTTTCTTTCCTGCATCCACAGGTTGCAGGTAAAAAAAAAATTGCTTAATTCCCCATCAACCCAGTCAGTGTTCTCCTAAAGGGGGGGCATGGGGAGATGTCCCTGCCGTGAGAACAAAATTATTATTTCTAGCGCCCATAGCTGCTAGCAGTAATCTCATGCTAAACATCCAATATGGCTGTACCCAAGTTGATTGGTGGATCGACTTGGCTACAATTGGCTTGTCCATAGATGGATCGAATTTTGACTGATCCTTGCTGAGATTGGATCCATCTATGGCTAGCTTAAGACATGGGTTGCTGGAAAGGTAAGTGTAGTGCTTCTTCTTCTATATACAGGTTTGTCTTTTGGCTGTTTTCACCCTGTAGTGACAGCGTCACTTTAAGAAGGTTTCAATTGAAGTTGGCTTTCCAAGATCGTCAGACAAACTTTTTTCTTTTAATTTGAGACAATCGCTAACATTGTACCCAGAGTGGTGTGTGTGTGATGGAGGCAGACGGGTGATTAGCTTCTTCACTGGAAGAATCTGTGGTGAAGAAACTTCATCCCCAAGCACACTTTGTGATTGAACAACCACAGACCTCAACCAGATCTTGAACAAACAAATGACTGGCACCGTCACCGTAAATTGCCTTTGTATGTGGCTGCGGTACATACACTATATTGCCAAAAGTATTGGACTGCCTGCCTTTACACACACATAAACCTCAATGGCATCCCAGTCTTAGTCCGTAGGGTTCATTATTGAGTTTGTCCCACCCTCTGCAGCTATAACAGCTTCAACTCTTCTGGGAAGGCTGTCCACAAGGTTTAGGAGGGTGTCTATGGGAATGTTTGACCATTCTTCCAGAAGCACATTTGTGAGGTTAGGCACTGATGTCGGACGAGAAGGCCTGGCTCCCAGTCTCTGCTCTAAATTTATCCCAAAGGTGTTCTATCAGGTTGAGGTGCAGGCCAGTCAAGTTCCTCCACTCCAAATTCGCTCATCCATGTCTTTATGGACCTTGCTTTTTGCACTGGTGTGCAGTCATGTTGGAGTAGGAAGGGGCCATCCCCAAACTGTCCCCACAAAGTAGGGAGCATGAAATTGTCCAAAATGTCTTGGTATGCTGATGCCTTAAGACTTCCCTTAAGCCAAGCCCAACCTCTGAAAAACAATCCCACACCATAATCCCCCCTCCACCAAACTTTACACTTGGCACCATGCAGTCAGGCAAGTACCATTCTCCTAGCAACCGCCAAACCCAGACACATCCATTGGATTGCCAGACAGAGAAGTTTGATTCATCACTTCAGAGAACACGCCTCCACTACTCTAGAGTCCAGTGGTGGCATGCTTTACACCACTGCATCCTTTGTACTTGGTAATGTATGGCTTGGATGCAGCTGCTTGGCCATGGAAACCCATGAAGCTCTCTATTTACTGTTGTGCTAATCTGAAGTCCACACGGAGTTTGGAGGTCTTTAGCTATTGACTCAGCAGACAGTTGCGACTTCTGTGCCCTGTGCACTTCAGCTTGTGCTGACCCTGCTCAGTTTTGAAACGTCCCCTAGCATCGACAATGCCCCTGTCCGGCTGTTTATCTGCATGAGCTGGACAAGAAGGGGTTAACGTGGACTACCACTTGGTGGCTGAGTTGCTGCTGTTCCCAGTTGCTTCCACCTAGTTATAATACTACTAACTGTTGACTGTAGAGTATTTAGTAGCAAGGAAATTTCACAGATGGTCTTATTGCACAGGTGGCAACCTATCACGGTACCACGATTGAATTCACTGAGCTCCTGAGAGCGACCCATTCTTTCACAAATGTTTGTAGAAGCAGTCTGCATGCCTAGGTGCTTGATTTTATACACTTGAGGCCATGGAGGTGATTGGAACACCTGAATCCAATGATTTGGAGGGGTGTCCCAATACATTTGTCAATATACTGTACATCTGACCATAGCAGCCTATTTGCTCTTATTCACCCACCTGAATGAAGATGAAGGACATGCTCAAACTTGTGTATTTTGGCTGTGGTAAAACAAAAATCCTTTTTGGGGCATCCTCAAAACAGGAGTTACATAAGGTTGAATGGCAGTGCTCCCAAAATGCATGTAAAACGCAACTCGTTTAAACCGCAGAGGTGTGAACCAGTCTTTACTGGCCAGATATGGGTGAAAGTTTTGTGGTCCATACAAGGGCCCATCACCAAACTCTACAAATTACAAAGGCTTAAAATGGTGTATGAGCAGCAAAATACTGCAAACCATTGCTCAGTGTGGGTGAGCAATCCAGCAGTCTCCTTATTTCTATGGTCTGCTCCTTCACTGGCTGCCCCATGTCTGTGTCCTGTACATCATCCTCTAACCTGAATGCAGGCAACCAGAGTTCTCCCGACAAAACACAACCCCTTCCCATCCTTCCATTATATGCAGATAGCGAATGAATGCCAAGCTTGTATTTGTTATTAGCCGTTACGCTCCAGACAACCAGTTTGTGTTCTATTTCTGTGCACTAGCCAGCTGAATATGTTTGTTTTCATCTATTTGTTGAATAAAGAAGATGGTAAGCATTTCATCTCTGGGGAAGTCAATTTGCCCTCCTTCAGATTAGATCTGTCTGTTATTTCTACACAGTAGTCAAATGTTTGACAAGAGCAAGAGAGCAGCATACTATGTTGTACGATGGGAAAAAGCTGCAAAATTGCTGACTTTTCAAATAAACAACTTCAGAGCTGACATTTGTCAGCATTGATGGAATTCTATGGCTTTCTGAAGGATTTTATACATCCAAATGTGTCACTTTTGCTATAGGAATAGTCTGTTGGACTGAATAACCTCCTGGACTCCTAATTTTTGGCTCCTTTTCTGGCTATCTTTAAGTTTGGGAGTGCCATCCCTCCTTGGGGTGTTCTCAAGCATTCCTGTTAAGTTCTCCATCAAGGGAAATAATGGAGAATCCAACACAGTGAGAGGGGATACCCTTGTGATGACAGTGGCAGGACACATTTCCATGTATTTATATACAGGTGAAACTCGAAAAATTAGAATATTGTGCAAAAGTTTATTTATTTCAGTAATGCAACTTAAAAAGTGAAACTAATATATGAGATACTCATTACTTGCAAAGCAAGATAGTTCAAGACGTGATTTGTCATAATTGTGATGATTATGGCTTACAGCTCATGAAAACCCCAAATCCACAATCTCAGAAAATTAGAATATTACATGCAATCAATAAAACAAGGAGTGTACATAGAACAATATCGGACCTCTGAAAAGTATAAGCATGCATATGCACTCAGTACTTGGTTTGGGCCCCTTTTGAAGCAATTACTGCCTCAATGCGGCGTGGCATGAAAAGCTATCAGCCTGTGGCACTGCTGAGGTGTTATGGAAGACCGGGATGCTTCAATAGCGGCCTTCAACTCTTCTGCATTGTTCGGTCTCATGTCTCTCATCTTTCTCTTGGCAATGCCCCATAGATTCTCTATGGGGTTCAGGTCAGACGAGTTTGCTGGCCAATCAAGCACAGTAATCCCCCGGTCATTGAACCAGGTTTTGGTGCTTTTGGCAGTGTGGGCAGGTGCCAAGTCCTGCTGGAAAATGAAGTCAGCATCCCCATAAAGCTCGTCTGCGGAAGGAAGCATGAAGTGCTCCAAAATCTCCTGGTAGATGGCTGCGTTGACTCTGGACTTAATGAAGCACAGTGGACCAACACCAGCAGATGACATGGCTCCCCAAATCAACACACAGACTGTGGAAACTTCACACTGGACTTCAAGCATCTTTCAGTGTATGCCTCTCCATTCTTCCTCCATACTCTGTGTCCTTGGTTTCCAAATGAGATGCAAAAGTTGCTCTCATCAGAAAAGAGCACTTTGGACCACTGAGCAACAGACCAGGTCTGTTTTTCTTTAGCCCAGGTAAGACGCTTCTGACGTTGTTTCTTGTTCAAGAGCGGCTTGACAAGACAAATACGACATTTGAAGCCCATGTCCAGGATCCGTGTGTGTGGCAGCTCTTGATGCACTGACTCCAGCCTCAGTCCACTCCTTGTGAAAGTCCCCAACACTTTTGAATGGCCTTTTCCTGACAATCCTCTCCAGGCTGCAGTCATCCCTGCTGCTTGTGCACCTTTTTCTACCACACTTTTCCCTTCCACACAACTTTCTATTAATGTGCTTTGATACAGCACTTTGGGAACATCCAACTTCTTTTGCAATTACCTTTTGAGGCTTTCCCTCCTTATGGAGGTGTCAATGATGGTTTTCTGCACAACTGTCAGGTCAGCAGTCTTTCCCATGATTGTGATTCCTACTGAACCAGACTGAGAGACCATTTAAAGGCTCAGGAACCCTTTGCAGGTGTTATGGCTTAATTATCTGATTAGAGTGGGACACTTTGAGCCAAGAATATTGCACCTTTTCACAATATTCTAATTTTCTGAGATTGTGGATTTGGGATTTTCATGAGCTGTAAGCCATATTCATCACAATTATGTCAAATCACGGCTTGAACTATCTTGCTTTGCATGTAATGAGTCTATCTCATATATTAGTTTCACCTTTTAAATTGCATTACTGAAATAAATGAACTTTTGCACGATATTCTAATTTTTTGAGTTTCACCTGTATGTTTAAAAGTGTCAAGCCCAAAAAAAAGGACATTGTAAATAATACAGATTAAAGTCCAACTCTGAGCTCAGAACTGCAGTATCCTGCATTCCTCCCTTCCTCCTCCTTGGAAACACTGCTGTATTTTTACTGTGTTTTATACGTACTGTTTTTTCCAAAGTCTTCAGACCAGTCACGTGGCAGGTAGGGTCATCTTCAGATCTTTTCCTGGTGGTGAGTGGTCCTCAGTGATGCAGAAAGTGGTGATGGCGTTATTGTCACGTTCTGCTTCATTATGAGTGCAGGGTGCTGTGGTAATTATCCCAAGAGGATAGGTCCATGAAATCCTTCACTTACAGTATGTCCTCAGTCTTCTCATTTGAATGGCACTGGATGTCATCCAGTGATGGAGAAGGAAGTACTTCAGGGGACAGCTCTAGAAAGGAAATGAATATTGCATCTGGAGCTGCTTTTTTTTTTTTTTTTTATTTTAACCACTGGCTGGAGCTACTATTAATGTTTTTTTTTTTCCTGTAGCCACGGATTGAGAAATGAGGAAAAGTAAGAAAATTGGTCGATTTCCCTTGACTCCCTCCCATGGAGCTGTTGAGTTCTTCCGGCGGGGGGAGCCACCTGATAGGAGAACACGGCGATTATTGCTAGCAGCTATGGTCACTCTCAATAATCTCATTAAAAATCTGACCGGCTGGTTGTACCCAAGTCGAACAACAATCGAATTAGGTACAACCAGCATGCCCATAGAGGCTTCGAATCTTGGCTGGTCCCTTCCTAACCAGCTTAGATTTGAACCATCTGTGGCGAGCCTAAAAGGTGATAAATGTAGACGAGGAACAGCTGGGAGCTTGTTATAGCAGTAACATACTTAGCAGGACCTTACAGACTGCATACAGCCACCAACATTAGTGCATTCCCCTTCCTCTAATGTCTGTACAGCAGTCAGGGGGCCAGTAGAAGTCAACTATCTACCAGTGGAGTTTCAGATTGTAGGAGGAGATTCTTGTGAACACAAGGAGAGCAAACAAACTCAATGCAGTCTATGTGCTTGGTAGGAAATTCAACTCAGTCCCTAGTGCTGCAAGGTGCTAATATAGGCAAATGCAAACTGAGCCATAATTATGTAAAGTGAATGACTACAGTATTGACTCGCTTACCTGCTTCATGTTTTCTTTTGTTCATTGTGGGGAGAATAAGTTCTGTGAAATTTTCCTTAGTTATGTAGGCAGAAAACAAGATACATAGAGGTCTACATTAAGCCATTTGTCTGGTTTCATTATACAGTAAGTAGTATGTATGTATGTATTGATCCATCCAGTCATATCACACTCTTGGTGATTCTGAGGACCAGCTCTCTGGACACCATGTCTGATATGCTTATAAACCTTTCTCCATGGAAGTTTCTTGGCATATTTTTTCGGTTGGTCACATTACACTATAATGTAAAGCGCTGAGTAAACCGTTGGCGCTATATAAATCCTGTATAATAATAATAATCATTTCCCAACCCTTCCCAATTGCTCAGCTTGGGGCAGGCATGCAGATTGTGAGAACACGTGCATAGCTAAGTTGTACGCACATATACTAAAGCCAGTTTAGATAGGAGCCAATTAACCTACCAGAATGTGTTTGGAGTGTTGGAGGAAACCCATGCAAATACAGGGGGAACATGCAAACTCCATGCAGGTAGTGTCTTGGCTGAGATTCCAACCAAATCCTCCAATGCTACAAGATATGAGTGCCAACGCACAAGCCATTGTGCTGCCCAAACATTGAAAATTCTTGTTTGAGACACTAACTTGCTTCTTTCAGTTCTGGATAATATGCATTCATTATATTAGGTGCCAAACAGGCCACCACCTACTTTTGTCTTGAATTAACCTTGAATGCAACAGTAATGTTGTTAACCCACACCAAATGTACATAATCTGATACTTTGTTATGCAGAGCTCCCCTTTACTGTGCGTTTAGCATGACATCCTACTCTGCAAATGAAGCTCTCGGAGCAATATCATAATGTATCCATTGTAACCTCTACAAGAAGTCTGCTATTGCAGTGCTGCGCAACAGAAGAATGAATGGCGTCATGCTGCTGTTTGTTTATCCAGGAGAAGCTCTGAGCCAATCAATGGTTTTTGTAAGCCGGACTTGTGCATGTGGAGCTGTGCGGGTGAAATAAGATGCCACTTGAGGACTTGGCAGAGCCCCTGATCACAGCACTTGCTGCAAGCTCTGCATTGTGAGGCTGATG